TCCTGTTAACTTTTCGACAGTTCCAGTGAAAAAAATGTCTGACAGTTGTATTGATATAGATGAATTTGTATCCGATATTCAAGACCGACCTTAAATATCGCACAGTTAATTGAAATAAAATAGCGAAAAAAATAATTATTCGGGAATCTGCGCTAGCAGTTCCTCAAATGACACTACTCTCAATCAGAAATATTTGAAGAACTTATCTTCGTGTTAACGTAAATCCTTATGTAATAAATTAAATGCGCCTTTTACATACGGGTCTATAAATAATGGATGAACCCAGTACCTACGTCGTTTCAGTTTTTTCCGTTGACGAACAAAATAAAACAACACCGTTACTACTTCTTCCACCTTTATTTTGTTACTGAACGTCTGTGTCGCTGCTTGTCGTCTGTTAAAAATCGCACCTAAAAAATCGCATGCGGCAGGTCGCGCGCGACATGTCGCGTGAGTGGGCTTTCTCTCTTATACGTCTAAAACTTTTATCAAGCTTACCATTATAAATACGCTTTAAACTCTCAGGATTTCACTGTTTCTATACAAGGTTTTCCATTATATTTTGAACCTTTCTAAAACCTATTCTATAAAATGGATGAGGTACCTCTCAACTTCGACCGAACGGAAAGTCGTAGAACACTCTTAATTTAAAAGACGAAAAACCAGGTGAGAATGATAGAGTTACAGCCATGGGCGTCGTTTGGGGGGAGCAAGGGGGGGGCAGTTGCCCCCCCTGGCTTTTACGACTTAATCAACAACGCGTAAGATATGCATTACGAACAACAATCTCATACAAATAATATTCAGGCTAATATATTTGAAGAATATTATAGGTTGAATATATTTATTGCATATGTGGGTTCCGCTTTTCCGAAGACTTTGTTAGTTTTTCCTTAAGCCTGTTACATCCCAAAAACATAAAAAATACTTTTTTCACTACCGATAAGAAAATGAAAGTGGTGGAAAAATTTGGAATCGATAATTTTGAAGCTGAATACCAAACTGGAATACGAAAGAGCTTTCTGCACACAATGAGCTCTCCATTAATGATATAGTGCCCAAATATTGTGAATTTGATCCAGACATACAAAGAGGTTTAAAAAATATTTATGGGTCTTCCACCAACGAAAGAACGTTTGAAACACTAAGGCATGTTAAAACATGGCTGCAGTCTATTCGATCAGTGCGAAGTCATGATAGGGGAAGCAAAAGCGATACTAGCGCAAGCTGCGGATAATTCGAGTATTTTAGGGCGATATTTTGTAATTTTGGCGTATCAAATACACGTATACATTTTACCTTTTACTAAAAAAAATAGGTAAAAACAATAAAATGAGCAACCGGAGTTGCTATGTTACAAATTATACTAGCAAAAAGACTGTAAATTATATGAATGTTCAGTAGCAAAATCGAAATTAAATAAAATAAATAAATGGACAGCTGTATAATAAGAACAAAAAAACCTTTATTTTTGTAATAATTAAGCAATAAATTATTTTTTTATCATCCCTTAAATCTTAAATGTTTAGCAAATGATTAGATTTCTGCCTTTAATTATTGTATATGGTTGACATGCAATCTTGTGACTTATTGATAGGAAACCGGTTTTATTCATTAATTTCTATGGGTTCTTTCGAACTAAAAATGAAGAAAATATAAATTACAATCGCAAATATACCAATTATTTTTGTTATTAAGTTTTAATTTTACGTTATTATATAATGGTAATATTTTTATTTTGACATAATTTAATCTATTCTTCAATGACAACTTATTAGGCTTAGGCAAGATCTCATAAATTTTCTCGTAAGTACCTACCTATGTTTTATTATTGATTTTTATTGACTTTTTTTAGCTGAAGTAATAAAAATATATATTAATAATTTGTTCACTTGTTTTAAAATTAAAATTAACATATATATTTCTTAATTACGAACTCTATTAAAAATTGTATTGTCAGTATACGCAAATATCGTCCGTTAGTTCATAAAATTGTTGGCATTGCTGTCACACACGGAGTGAATAATGAATGAAAATAGGCTGACTGAAAAATAAATTATGTTTTCGTTATCGATATTTTTAGTAGAGAAAAAAGAAATTTGAAATTTGCATTTTCCTAGTGTTTTTTTGTGTTAGTTTTTTTATGTTTTTGTTTTTTATACATTTTTATTTTTTATATTATTATGTTCATATTTTTCTTTTATATCACACCTGTTTGTTTTTTAAAAATATTCTTTAAGTTTCTTGTCTTTTTTTTTTTGGTTATTTTATTTATTAGAGACTTGTTATGACAACTTAACCATCAGTTCTGTCAAATGAGTCAGTGACATTGTTAGGGTTACTACTAAAGTTCCACTCCCCTTATCTTCTCTATTCAGTGAGATATCTGAATAATTTTGTTCTGTTTGACAGACTGGAACAAACACTGTCTTAGGATTCAATTATTCTGTGACGTCCTGGCTTACTTCCGGTTTTTCCGGAAATAAAGAAAATCGATTTTTTTTTATTGTTAAATGGAAACCCTCTTTTATTGTAAATTTAAACATTTTTGTATAATAATCGTGTATTGAAAATTTTCTGTCAGCTGTCAAAATGGCCGCCATATTGGATAATATTTTTTCTAAACATGTCACTATTAATTCGTTTATGAAAAAAAATATAGGAATGTACGATCTTTATAAAATCTTTGTAAGCTTCAAAATTCCCATTGAGACCCATTTACCGTATACCAGTATACCGTTTAATAATTTCATCCGCTTTTATCTTAGTTGTTAATTGAGATATTGGAATGAAAACTTTTTTGTTTAACAGCTTGGAACAAATACTGTCATATACTGGATTCAATTGGTGTGTGACATCATGGCTTACTTCTGGTTTTTCGGAAATAACAGAAATTCTCAATTTATTTTTAAATAGAAACCCCCTTTTTTATTGAAAATTTGAATTTTGGGAACATTTATGAAAAAGAATAATGTGTCAAAATGACCATCATATTGGAAAATATTTTTTTTAATATGTTACAGAAAATTTTCAATAAACGCCCCAAAAATGTCCCAAAAATTCAAATTTTCAATAAAAAAGGGTTTTCATTTAAAAATAAAAAATAAATTGCGATTTTCTGTTATTTCTGGAAAAGCTGTAAATAAGCCATGAAGTCACAGAAAAATTAAATCCATCATAAGAAAATTCTCTTTTATTTTTCATTTCCTTTGTTTTCCAACAAATAAACATTCTAAATTTTTTTCAAAATTTTGCCCCCCCCCCTATAGAATTGTGTAACGACGCCCATGGTTACAGCTAAAGGTAATTATAAAATTCGATAAAAAATATAAATATATATTTTTTTTAATACATGTTTGTTTTTGTTTTATCATGTAGTCAGGGCTGATGAGAGGGGGGATAGCCGAAACTGATTCGCGGTGCCTGGGCTCAAGTAGGGGCTCCAGCAGCGGCATATGGGGGGCGTGGCAGCTTTAGGTGGGGACTTTTTTATTTTTTTTTGTTTTTGGGGTTTCACGAAAGAGAAGTTTTTGCTTGAAGGCTTTTTTTAGAAATGTGATATTGACAGGGCTTAATTTTTTTATAAAATTGTCGCGGGGCCCGACCTGAAAAATGTCTCAGCAGCCTTGTATGTAGAAAAATAAAAAAATATATATAATAAAATTTAATTGTTTATATAACAAATTATTTATTAAATAAATAATGAAAATTTAAATAAAAACAGTTATCGAAGAGTAACAAAAATGGTTCCGTAATAAAAATTACAAGTGGTAAAAAAAAACACTTGTTAATTAACAAATCCGTATTTAAGCAATAAAATAAATTTTTAAGGAATTATTTCCTTTTTAAAATAAAAATTTGCATCAAAGATTATGCTTCCAAAAAAAAATTTAAATTATCTTATAAACAACGTATTTGTTTATAATAATTTTTTAAGTAATGGGAAATAAAAAATTTTAAAAATCAATTTCATGTGGCTTCTGATGATAAAAAAAAGGATCAATAGTAATATAAAAAAAGATTTTTTATATTGACTAATGAAGCTTCTTAATTTTTAACCTAAGTAAATGTTTAATACCAAAGTGAAAAAAAAAAAAATGGCAGATTTGTTATTTAACAATTATGGCACTTGCAATGTTCATGTTCGAGTAGGAAAAAATTGTTAATTAACTAATGCATAATTAATCGAAAAATCGCGACAAAAATTTTTTGACCGCGGATTATTGTTCATTCATCTATCCAGTAGATGTCTGAATTTTTTTTAATTCGTAATTTTCAAATTTAATAAGTTTAAATAATATTTATTTATTAAAGGTCCACAGTCAGAAGCTCCGTTTTCGGCTGTATTTTCAACCCTCTGGGAAAATTATAAATATTGGTCCTACAGTTTCGAGAAATTTCTTCCTCTTTTTGAATCTTTTTTTCAAATTTTGAAAATGTCAAATTGTTTTTGAGATATTTGCAAAAAACCAAACCTTTTTTTTTTCATTTAATTGTTCATAACTTTTGCAATTTTAGCAAGCGGCTCTCGAATATTTTCAAAAACCATCTACACGCTATTCTGAATCGAATGACAGCTCGTTCATATTTTTCGGAAGCGGAGAAAAAAAGTTTGACCCAAAAAGCACTTGTTGACTAGACTATAGTTGTTTTTAATTATAAAGCGTGTTATGTAAATAAAACATTTTGTAAAAACTTTATCGCTTCTCCCTAGATTACTAAAAAAACGTTTATCTTAACTATAATCTTCAGAAGAGGTATTTTTACTACTATTACTGCATTTAACCGTTTTGTTCTAGCTATCGGTATATTGGCAATTAATTATATGATAATAAAGAGTTAGATAGGTATTTGGTAAAATTTTCGTTTAAAAATCCGATATATTTTTTATTTTTATAAGTAAATTCTAATTAATCCTAAAATTGTACTATTTTAAATTCCATCGCAAAAAATTCAAATTGAAAAAATATTTCTACAAAACTTATGCATGCCGTACTCACCCTGTATGTGCAAGAAAAATAATGTACCTGTTGATTGAACTCACCACGAACAATGAATACACACTATTTCCCTTAAACTCTTATATCTAAACATGTCTCAATCAATTTTAGCGCCCTCTACATTGCGCTTGCTCCCACACTCTTCAAAAGTTATTCACGCTAGAACAGAATAACAGCAGGATGGTGTTATCCGCTAAAAATGTTTTTCAGAGTATTTAGGGGTAGGTTAGAATAATTTTATTGTCGTCAGTGTCTCCGATTCTCTCGATAACGATTTTATATATTTATGTTTCCGATAGAATTTTGTAAAAATTGCTGCCTTTATAGTTTTCTATTTCTATATCATTTCTACAATTGAAGGGCTTATTGTAAAAATGTGTAAAATAAAGGCATTTTCCCACTATGCATAAAAACGTTAAATTAATGAGAACTTTACATCACATTGTTACATTGTAACTCTCATTTGTATTCTTTCCCAAGTCCAGAGTAGGGACGTTAATTTTTGTAATAATAATAGCTCCCAACAGTTTCCCAATTACAAGACAATATTCTTAATAAAAAGTAAAAATAAAAAAAGTGGTATCTAAAAATAAAATTATTAAATTACAAAAGTAATTCTACTTATTGGTTGTGATGTAACATTACACGAAAAGTAAATAGAAGTAGCTAAATAAAAACTATAAGAGAATACTAGGAAATAAGTTTGTTACATCGAATGATACTAATTTTGTGTTACTAGGTAATTTAATGTTTTTTAATTTTTCTATTAATTCTTTACTAGTATACCTACTAAAGAAACAGTTAAGGTAGTAGAAAACTTATTAGATCGTAATGAAGTTAATATTATAATCAAAGAAGAAATCCTAAATTTATTAAATATTTGCCTAAAACAAAATTATTATTTTCAATTTCAAAATAACATCTCAGCGAATGAAGGTCTTATTATGGGGAACCCATTAAGCCCGTTGCTTGCAGAAATATTTATGAATAATATAGAACATAAAATTCATAGCAATAATTTAAGTAAACATTGTCTTTATTGGCATAGATATGTTGACGATATACTGACTGCTTCTACTGGTACTAGTAAACAGTTAAATTCTTTATTAATTTTTATCAATACTATACACCCTAATATTAAATTTACTATGGAAACAGAGAAGGATAATTCAATTAATTTTTTTGGCTTAAATATTATTAAAATTAATAAGCCATCACATACTGATATTACAATAAATAATAGTTCATTTCATCCATACAAACAAAATCTGGCAGCATACAACAGTATGATCCATAGATTAGTTAATATCCCCCTTACCATAGAGAACTTCACAAAAGAATTAAATATCATTAACCAAATCGCAGTAAACAATAATTTTAATTTAAAGTTAGTAGACAACATTTTAGGGAAAAAACTTTTTAAACATGCTATTCAACAAGTTTATCCCATAAAGATCAAAATTGCAGATATAAGACTCTTACATATATAGGAGCTCCTAGTGAAAAGGTATCATCATATTTAAAAAACCAAAATATTAACGTAGCTTTCAAAACCAATAATACGCTTGGGAAGTATATTAAAAACAATAAGGGTAAAATTAATTCTAATAATAAATCGGGGGTATATAAATTAAATTGTAATAGTTGTCCAAAATTGTATATTGGTCAAACAGGCCGTACTTTCAAAAAGCGCTATTCCAAACATTATAATAGCTATACAAAAATAAAAAATAATTCTACTTACTCAAATCATATTTTGGCTGAAAATCATTCTTTTACAGACAACTTTGAAATTTTACATATAGAAAATAAGGGCATTAATCTAAACCATTTAGAAACACTTGAAATAAATAGATTTAAAAATTCAGATAACCTACTAAATGATATAAATAGCTTTTTCGCTCGTACGCAGAATACATACATTTTATGTTTTATTCAACTTATTTAAATAAATTTCCTGGAGATCGCCATACTTTTTGCAAAAAACATCATTTTTGTTTTGGATGTCTAAGTAGCTATCACGATTTAAAAACATATAAATCTACTTCGGTATGTCGCAAATGTGGTAGCAAAACACACCATATCATTTTACATTTTAATCGTTAAAATACCCAGATTGAAGCCGCTGGTAGTTCTGATACGAACCTAGCCTCGCGCTCGGACCCAGTCCAGCTGGAAACTAGTGATTCGAATTCGGCATAAATTTGTACTTCGACCCAAAATCACTCGCTGGTTTTATTGTGTACAGCATTTATCGAAATAAAAGATAACAAAGGTGTTTTTAGAACATGTCAGGCTCTGTTAGATTCTGGCTCTGAAATTTCACTTATTTCGCAGAAATGTTTTTTAAGGTTGAACTTAAATTTAAGTCGATGTTCAACTAGGTACAATTCAGGGTATTGGGGATACCACTAGATTAATGAACACTGGGGCTGCAACCGTTTTAATGAAACCGATAGACAAAAATGGAACCTTTATTGCGTAGATACTCTTGTATTGCCGAAAATATGTGACCAATTACCTTCAACTTTTACAAATAATCATTCGTGGTCATATTTAGATAATTTAGAATTAGCAGATCCAAATTTTTACCGTCCAGGGGACATTGATATTTTACCTTAAATTTTACTCTCTACTCACGTTCAATGGAAGAACGGGGGTCCGACCGCACTACAAACAGTTTTTTGGTTATATTTTATTGGGTAAAATAAATAATCTCTCGCCCGCATCAATTTATTTTTTCTAAGTTGTCTGACATTGAAAATTTGGATAATTCTATGAAAGGTTTTTTTGATATTGAAACAGTCCCAGAGTTCACATCGCTTTCTTCCAAAGATACAATTTGTGAAGAAATGTTTGTTAATAATTTTCTAGGACCGAATCAGGTAGATATGTGGTACCGCTTCCGTTCCGCGAACCATCTCCATTATTTTCTCACAGTCGCGAATTGGCTTTACGTTTTCTTAGTATGAAACGTCGATTACTAAAAAATCCTACTTTATATAAAGATTACTGTGATGTAATAAGAGAATATTTAGATTTGGGACATGTGAAAGCTATTGAGCCTCATCATGCAGTACTTCGGCCAGATAGCCATAGTACCAAAGTGAGAATTGTTTTTAACGCTTCGGCTCAAATGCCAAACAAGAAAACATTTAACGACTATTTATTTGTCGGTCCAAAATTACAAACTGATATCGCCACTATTTTGCTTAACTTTCGTTTACAAAAAATTTGTTTTACCGCGGACATTAAACAAATGTACCGTCAAGTATTGGTATCTCCGGAATTTAGAGATTATCAACGCTTATTGTTTCGTTTTTCTCCAAACGATGACATCTTAGATTTTAGAATTAAAACTGTTTTGGCTCCATATCTGGCAATTCGCACGTTACATCAACTTGCTACAGATTGTCAAAATAAGTATTCTCAAGCATCTCGTATTTTAAAAAGAGACATATATATATTGATATTTGCAGTGGTAGGACGATTTAAGAAATGCGCAACTTTTAAGGGATGAACTTATCTGTCTTTTACGCACGGGTGGCTTTGAGCTCCGAAAATGGACGAGTAACGACCCGCAACTTTTAGACATTTTTCCTTCTTATCAAGTGTCTTGTAATCCGCTTTTTTTTTGAGAATGAAATTCACTCTACAATCAGAATTTTAGGTCTTCTATGGAATCCTAAACATGATAATTTTTTTATAAAGTTATATAGATCGCCCTTGTACGAAACGCAATCTCTTATCTGAACTTGCCAGAATATTTGATCCGTTAGGTATACTTTCACCAGTAACCTTTTTTTGTAAATATTTGATTCAAAAATTATGGTTACTTCGTCTAGATTGGGATGATACTCCCCTTAATGAACTTTTAAGACTTTATCTTAAATATACGAATGAACTAAAAGTATTATCTTCTTTGTGCATTCCGCGCAGGATTGATATTCCTCCGGATTCGCATGTTGGGTTACATGCGTTTAGTGACGCTAGTGAGCGGGGCTATAGTGTTGTCGCGTACTTTAGAATTATCGATGACACAGGTTCTGCAAAAATGTTTTTCGTGTGTGGTAAATCAAAAGTTGCCCCTACCAAAAAAATCACAATTCCTCGCATGGAGTTATGTGGCGCTGTTTTATTAACCCTATTAATTTTATCATGGGTGATGCGTGCGTTTACACATTACACCAATGAATTGTTAGTACATTTACGAAGTTTACGTAATGTTTCTGAGAAAATATAGTACCCAATTTAATATTAATTTTTATGCATTATAAACAGAAAAATATTTATTCCCCCACTTCCATGGACCGCACAATAAATCATACTAAAATTAATAAAATATTACAGATGACTGCTCTGAAACAGATCCAAATGATGCAACTAATATCTTCATTAATACAATTCATGAAATCACTCGATTATGTACAGATACAAAAAAGGTTTCAAGACTAAATACCAAAATAGTACCATGGATGACAAACTCCTTATTAAAAAAAAAATAATAATAAAAAAATAATTTATATAGAAATTTAATAAAACATCTAAATGATAATGATATAAAACAACTACATAAAATTTGTAAAAATAAACTAATTTAATAAATAAAACTAAACAAAATTATTACAAACAACGAATACAATTAGACAATCAAATTACGAAACGGTTATGGGACATTGTATGAGAAATTACAGGCACAAACACTAAAACAAAAACTATTGGCCCTATAAAGAACGATAACGGAGAACTCCTCATAAAAACTGTTGACATGGCTAATGAATTCAACACAAAATTTATAAATATGGGTTACAACCTTGCAAAAAACCAACAAAAAATTCAAGGTGTATTCCTAGTATCACGGGTTTACCGAACTCTATTGTTTCAACACATACTGATGAAAAAGAAATATTATTTCTAATTAAGAGGAGTATTTACTTGGCTGTAGAGCGGAGCATGCAAGGGTTTCGTAGTACCCTACTTTTAAAGTTTATTTTTGACTTATTTTGAAAGAAAAAAATATGTACGTGTAGGTAAAGGATAAATCTATGCTCCTCTGGAAATACTTTTTTAAAATTAAA